TGATCGGAAGGTCGTGTGTTCGAAACACGTCTGTGACCGACCTAAGTCGATAAAAAATAGGTAGCAACTGTTCCTTCGTCAAGCGCTCGGCACTTTGAAGTGAAAGTTGCGGGTTTTTCGGATGAGACCTTAAAAACCGAGGCCCCGTGTCTCGGTAGGTTCAAACTTTTTTTCACAATTTTTTTTTTCACAACCATTTTTTTTCGCCCAATACCTATATTCCTAAACTTTACCTATGCTACAGCAAACAGAGGGGGGGGGGGGGTAGTCTTTCAATGAACATTTTCAAAGTTTGGAAAAAGTGGGAAGTGGCCCTGCGTCCCTGATTCTTCGTGCCTGATAAATAACTTGTTTTCAGACTTGTCCACACTGACAGATAATTTTGTTCCACAGTGTATATATACTTATGTTAAATTGTGTGATACACATACACCGCCGTTATGGGGTGAAAGAATTTAGTGACAGGTAACCTTGCTGAAAAGTGAACCCCTCATCCGATAAAGCTTTTTTTTTTGTCCGAAATTCTTTTTTGACCTTTCTGTCGCTTTCTCATTCCAGTCTTCTTTTAACTTCACTGGATCCTCGACAGCTAAGAAATTACAACTCCGGTATATGTGGAATGATCTTAAGTAGAATATACGGGTAAATAATAAATTTTACTTGGTGAAACATATGAGCCTTTGTTTTTATATACATATTATTATCAACAATGTCTACAATATAAACTTATGCAGATGCAACACGCTTATATTTTGCGTGGAATTATAAAATCTGAAAATATACTGAAACATCAACCGTGCACTTGTATGAATGACTGAAAATACAAGACTCCAGAATATTAATTAATCGGATCAGTCCTGACCAACGGCACCCAAAAGATTGGGAATTTATTCCCCCCCCCCCCCCCCGCCCCATCCAAAAAAAATGTGTTGCAAGCTTGGAGACCTATTGTGACGTCATCTTTGAGTTTATTGCGTAATTTATTAACATACATGCAGACGTCAGCTAAGCCGTTTCAGTAGCAAAATAAAATAAAGGCTAGGATTTTAAAAACATTTTCTTTTCTGCAATAATACTTTTAGTGATTTCATTTGTCAGCTGAACATTTTTATTTTATTGCTTTAGTATATTAAATTGATCCCTTCCATTCTTGCTGGCAACATTTATCAAGTGTAAGGCTTATTTGTATAAAATAATATCGCAATTTGTCATTTCTATAGAACATTTTTTTAGTTTTTATGCTATTTTCATGACAATTATATTTGTATGAGCAATATAAATATGGTCAATCAATGATAAATTTATTTTTTAACATTAATACACGAAATACACTTTTATTATTACTCCTAGATAAGAATTCGCCTCTCGACTACCTTTGTTTCCGCCACCGGAAATAGTCATGAAATATCAAAATTAACATACTGCACATTCCTCGAGCAAATTCTTACCATTATTTTTGCTTGTCTTTTATCAAATTATTTTCATATATATATGTTTTATTTTGCTCGAGGGGTGTGCACTACTTCAATTTTGGGAATTTGTTGTAAAAATAGTGGAAAAAATAGCAATTTCCGGAAAGAACGGATGTTTTAATCCTGTGAATACCTCTAATCAACGTACTTGCGAAATTTTGTTATGCATATATCAAAACTACCAGTCTTCTTCTACATGTACATAGTAGTTATATTTTTTCAAACGTGTATATCAAAATACGAAAAATTGTGGGCCTTCGAATAATACATAACGTACTTAATTCTTTGATAAAAATGTGTATTGGCCAAGGGCATTGGTTATGACCCTCATTCCAAAAAAGTTTAGCACACTGCACAAGTGGCTTCACTTCAGAAGAGCTAATATGGTATACTGTCATTAAAGTAAATCAAGTTTTTTTTTCCACTTTGACCTAGAAAAAGTACTAGTATTCTTTCCTCAGGCATTGTTTCAAGATGCAGGTTTAGTTCCTGCTAAAAGGTTTGAAGGAGCAAAGAAACCATGAAACTCTATCAGGAAGAAATGTGATGGACCAGACTAGGATTCAAACTCACTCTAACTGAACTCTAGAAAGGGGTCTACCAACTGAGTTATCTGTACAACAGTGAAAAAGTCAATCTGACCACAAGTGGCACCACTTTCCCCTCTCCTTAAATGTGTTCTCATGTACATTAACTTTGTTTAAGCCCTAACAGGTCCTATATCTGGCACAGCATGGAGAAGAATAAGATTTAAACCCAGACTCTTGAACTTAAGACAGGTGTTTTACCAAATGAGGTCTCAGATTGCCTGAAAACAACACATGTGGGTACTTGGGTCTCTGTTTATATATATGTATGTACCTTATTAAAAGGACTTTTTTACATATCAATAAGGTACATACATATTTATAAACCAAGAGCCAAGTACCTGTGGAAAACAAAATGAAAATAAATCAGACGGTGTGGATATGTATAGATTGTAGCAAGTAAGTTTCTACTATCTTTGTTGTCAAAGGGTTGTAAACATGTGGCAAACTAAAAAAGAACTGGAATTTTCTTTGGCGTAAATTAATAAACAGTTTATTGATTACTACAGTGTTCTACAGTCACATGGTAATAATTAAAATAACATTCTACAAACTCCAAACAACAAATTATTTTTACATATCCTTTACCTGATAGTTTCAGTGTACAAAATTTTCTGACTTTGAAAATTAAATGCGTAGGTAAATTTCTAGTATATATATTTGTACATATTTGTCTTAATAATGTACATGGGTGAATTAAAAAAAAATGACCAAATGCATATTTATCAACCCACACTAAAAATACATGCAATGAAAATAGATTTCTATGTCTCGGCATATGTCTTTAGATAGTGTCTGAATACCTGCTAAATATCTCGTTGATATCTCAATTAACAAAAAAGTTATGCCCAAAAATGATGCTAAAATTGTCAGGAGTGCAACACCTTTTTGTGACATTTTGAAATTTCAATATTTTTTGGAGATCTGTGAAATAAATAATAATGCTTGATGTTGAAAATAAAGACTTTCCTTATAATATTCAAAGTATTGAGCTTTAAATGTAGGCTGTAGTAACTTTTGTTTAATCAAGTTGTGGTCATGGCTGAAGTTTAAAAAAATGTTATACCATGTCAGGAGTGCAACAGAAAAAATGTAGTGTTGCCAAAAAAACATCAATTGTAAAATTCTGAAAGAAAATTAAGACAAAAAAGAATTTTCGAAGTGTAAAACAATAACTGATATACATTTTAAAACTTAAAAATGTTATATAAATCACAAGCAGCATTAATTAGAGTCAAGTATAGGTGTATACCCAATAATGTCAGGAGTGCAACATTTGATGTTTTGCTCCCAAGCATGAAAAAACCATTATCATTATATGATTTTCTGATTTTTATTTTGGAAAAGAAAGACACAAAGAACATTTTTATCAAATAGATTTATCGATTAAAGGATCTATCTGTGCTTCAGATCAATATTTCTATGGTCAGGAGTGCAACACATTTTTTTAAAGATTCAAATTGTGTGACTAAAACACTTCTATTCATGCTTAGAAATATTCATTAATTAATAATGATCTTTTTGTATAATTTAATACTAAATTATTGACAGTTTTATTATTAAAATCCTTCCTTTTTCAATTTTATCAGTTCAGATGTGTTTTTATCTTTTTTGTGATTTTTTTAACGAATGTTAAAAATTACACACTAAAAAATTGTCATAAAATTCAAGCAATTCCTCCTCAACTTCACTGAAACAACAGAACAAGTTCTTATGTAATTTTCACTTCACAATTCTACTTTAAAGGTCCCAATGCTTTTGGTCAGGAGTGCAACAAATATGTTAGAATTATAAATCATCCAATAAGAATAAAAATAAAGAAAAAATGATGAGTAGAATTTTTCTGGTGGGTTACTGTGTTTGTCCTTTAAGGTCAGACGATACCTTCATCAAATATTTGTTTTGCAAATCTTCGTAATGTATGAAAAATATTCAAAATTGTAATTACCTTCTGATTTCTTAGCAGGTTTCTTCTTGTCTTCAAATAATCGAAGCACTAAAAAGTGTGATATTAGCACAAGAAGTTTTTCCCAAAAGGATTATATAGGAAACAACATCCTCTGGTATCATGCACAAATGCCTGGTAAGGTACCTCAGTTTTTGGTGAGTAAACATATTAAAGTAGCAATACTTCAATGACAAAATCTTGGAAAAAATTATATATTACTGAGGAACGTATCGTCTGTCCTTAAAGGAAAATATGCTATGAAATATATTTTATCTTCTAAATATGCATTTAAGCTAGTCTTTTGGCATAATTAGGGAATAATTCCAGATAAAATGCGAATTTCAAATACTTTCATCCATTTTAATTATGAAGTATTGGACTATAAAAATTGCACAATTTCATTACCACTTGATGTTGCCAACACTTTCTGAGTTTCTGTGTTCTACGGTTTTAATTTTAAATTTTACTGCAGTCAGGAGTGCAACAAAACTGCGTTATAATTACCAATGCTTTTTAACTATCTTTACTAAAAAATAAGTTGAAAAAAAATTTTTGATACTATTTGATGTTCAAAACACTATGTCTATAAACAAATTACAGAAATTTTCTAGTCAATTCAGGGAATAGTTTTCATTATTTCACATATAGTTTTATATACAATTTATATATATTACACTTTGCAAATAATGATATGTTAAGGTCTTCAAAATATGAAAAACCTGCTGTAAACGATGAAAAATATCAACACGACAAATTAAGTTACAAAGTAAGAATGGGTTATTGTGTGTTATAATTTTTAAAACAATGTTAAATAAAATACATATCAGATGTCAGGAGTGCAACACAATAATGTAACATAGGGTCACTTCAAAATCTAGTATTTTTTGTAAGAGAACTCGTATATAAAAATTCTTTTTTGGCTTAGATTTAAAGAATTGGCTTGAACAGACAAAAAAGTGAAATTTGGGGAATTTTATTGCTTCATATTAATGAAGTAAAAATCTGAAAAAATTAATTCCATCACGTCTTGAAGCCTGAAGCTGTTGCACTAAATTATTTTCAGACCATGCCTCATTTCAATTGTATGACAAAGTTTTATATATATATATATATATATCTATTGAAGGCAATGAAGTTGTACATGTAGATACATTAATATACATAGTACTACATAACAAGTACCTGCAGACTTTGACGTAGTGAAAAATTTGCTGATACGAATTACTTGATGATAATAAAAACCATTGTCGATTTTGTTTTACTTCCATCGTCTTTTAATAGCTTTTATTTCCCTGTGGTTCACCGGTTGATAAAATGTTGCAAGAAAATATATGAAAACATCAGGAGAAGCATCTCTCTGAAATAAAACAATACAAGAGCCTTTAATGTAGCTGCTCGCATGCCTACCACCTGTAAAAATCACTCATTCTTCCCCGTTATGTTATTTATATCCCATCAAATATATATTCATTAAAATTATTATAATATAAATATGCTACATTAAAATGAGCTATTCTACACTTTGTTTGTATGCATGGTTCTTGAATGAGTCACGATGTTACATTCTGTGGTATTTCAGTGCACGTGACATTAATCACTGTTAATGGTAATCAATCTGTCATATGCATCAGTCTCATGTACTGATTGTTTGAAAATTTTTAATGACTACCATTTTGACTTCTTTTAAAATATTTTATGACACCAACCTTTCATGGTTATTTGCTAAACAGACGCTCATCCCTCCAGAAGTACCATCCCCTTTTATGCTGAAATTACATTTATTAGTATAACTAATATATAGAGGTTTATACATATTTTATCAATCAGAATGCATACTGTATACATGGGTTTATTAGATGACAATAATACATAGTCTACAGGTATATTTGATTTTATTAAGAACAACCTCCTCAGCCCGTAGCAACGGTTTCGAAAGTGGGGGGGGGGGGGAGAGCAACCTCAAAAAAAAAAAACTAAACTGTCCAAATCCTGAAATTTGCCAGTGCTCGACCTTACAGCAACAACAGGCGGGGGTGGGGACAAGCATCTAAATGAAAATTTACTATAGCAGAATACCAAACTCTGAAAAATGCGCCCCCCCCCCGGGTTCTACGTGCCTGATCCTCCATCAGAACTTATGGTTTATTTCGTTGGTTTCTATATAAAATTAAGCACTTTCAGAGTAATTTCTTTTTCAATTTCTTTTCTGGTCCATGGTTTTCTTTAAAAAAAAAAAAAAAAAAAAAAAGAATCACGCTACATTCAAGGATTGTACATGTAGATCGTCCCATAGGCTTATGTATTTGCCTTTTGATTACGAATCCGTCACTTCCCGTCGTCTCCGAAAGTGATAAAACTAATACTTTTTGAATTGTTCTGAATAAAAAAAAATGTAGTAGTAAAATCTATTCAATAGCTAGGAAAGAACCTTCGATATAAGTTGTTGATTTCGAAGGTTTTTGTAAAGCTTTGATGTAGAATTAAACGTTTTTATGTTCTTCCAATTCTCTCTATTCGACGGAACATTATACACCCAGGTTTGAATCCTGGTCACGGCACCAATTTACTAAAGTTACAGATGGCTCTGAACAAAAACAGCTGTGGTACTAGTGAAAACCGAGGGTAGTTGATTTTAATCACTGAAATGTTATGGGAAGATGTAGATATGGTTTGTACGTGCGATTTGTTTTCTTTTCTTTCCTGCCGTTGCTTTTGGTGAAGTAATATGATGTCGGATCGAAACTCTATGCTTCCATTTCCAATAGGAGGTAATTGATCTTCAGGGAAGACATATATAATGCTTTGAATATGAGATACGGCAAACTAAAGAAGCAATAATTTTTACGGAAAAAGAACCTGTAACGCAAATAATTTAAAACGTGCATATAAATACAAACATTTAATTTACTCAATTACAGAAACTTAAATTAAAAATAAATTATATCAAAATAATTTGCTTTTCTTATAGATATGAAATATTTTATCAAGATTAATATCAAACTGCATGCTTGGATTACAGGTTCAACAAAGCTGTCCAGAGTCTAAAATTGATTGTATACTGTAAGATCTAGCTGTTTTTCAAACGATCAAGTTTCATTTTTTTTTTATCGAATACAAAGTTAATTATATGTTCATAATGTGCTTATCCAAACATTAAGAATAATTGTCTGATTGATGAATTTTCTCAGTTAATACTTCCGTAGCGCTATTAAAGCGTAACGTTAAACGTCACCAACATCAAGCGTAACGTCTTAGCATGTGTACTGTTTGCCATAAAACATTATGAAAAATACTAGCGTTACAATCCACTTGACCTTTGATCTACTTTGCAAATATACTACAAATGGTTGATTTAATTAATTTGTCTTTTTTAAATTTGGTAGACAAGGTGCATTTGTAACACACGTTTATGAGCTCATGACAGTGTTCTTTGAAACTGTTTACTATACAGATACCACAAAAACTGAAGTTTAAATGTAGGAGGATAAAAGTCGTATGCTCAACAAGGACCTCGGTCGGTGTCGCATAATATTTGGTCCGCCTCGTTTAAAGGTCCGGGGGGACCTAATACGATAACATATACCGGTAAGGTCCGGCCTGCCTCTATAATAAAAGGTCCGCCTTCGGTTTAATATGCAGATTTTTCTCCTTTATTGATTCGAAATTAATAAGCTTTATTAATCTTTTTAAATTATTTAAGGTATAGTTCCTCCCAGCAAAATGGAGTTCCAAGAACGTACATGTATGTACATTGTATATACATGTATACTAACAGGATCAAGTCTCGCGATATCTCGCTAGTTGCTGGATTTCGTTAATCAATTTTAATTAATTATATTTCTAATACTATGATATATTTCAGTACAAAACCTCAAAATATCTATCAAAAAATTATTCAAAATTTGATGTTAGCACTGATTAACTGTTTGCTCCTTATCGTAGTACATACCTCCCAGGTAGTGCACAAAACAAAAAATATAAAGATGCAAAGATCTGTTGATCGAGTTACCTTATGGGAAAATCATGTACGACATGTGTCTTTTATAGTTTAAGTGATATCAATATTATCATTGCAAAATAAAAAAAAAAAAATACAGATATATAATACGCATACCTTCACTGGCACATTGTTCAGTATATAGTGTTCTTAAGTCCAACAATGATCATTTCATTACAGTCTCTTTCCTAACAACTTTCGACTTCCACTTCCCAAAAAGAATTTTCATATCTTTCGAAAGATATTTCATTATATTATTAATAATAATTATGCATAATTCTTACGATTCATATTGAACCTAACTATGAAATAATTGGAGGGTCACTGTAACAGGGACTTGTGTTACGGTGTACTAGCCTATACCCCGTTGTTGTTAAAACAACATGTCTGTGCATTGGGGGTAGGCCTATTGTCTCACTTGACGAAACTTGAAGTCGCATATCCCATGAGTTTTTATAACCATCGTTTCTTATCCAGTTAAAGACTTAAGATTATATCATTCCTGCTTGATATTACCCCGGGGTTAACACTGGTGAAGGAAGATGTGCATTAATTGGCAAAATCAAACCTAAGTCAATTGAGTTGAACATTTTAAGCAATAAAACACCCCCACCCCCACCCCACCCCCCAAAAAAGGAAAAGATTATAAATGGGCCTGTTTTTTTTTTTTGAAGGGTGGGGTATAGCAAAATTATGCTGAAACATGTCAAATAGTTTAAATAGTACTGATGTTGTAGACTTTCCTCCCGCATTAATATTTTTTTCCCGGAAAAACGAGCTTGGGTTTAAAGACCCCTCCCCTTTTGGAAAATGAGCCTAGCATAGGATTTTATTTCCGGAATTTTTTTAAATATTGTTCATTTCATTCCCTACATTTTGTAGTTTTCATCTCTGACATTTTAAAATTTTCATCTCTGACATTTATCATCATAAAGTACTTTTCCGGCAATGAAAACAGAATTGAAATTTCCCTGAAAAAAAATTAATTAAAGAATAAATCAAGAATAATTCATTGATTTCCAAATAATAAGTTCTGCATATATTTAAAAGAATTTTATGAAGATTTTATCCTCGGACACATATAAGTGTAAGTTGTGAATTTTATTCATCTTTTCAAATCAAGATAATCAGACTGAATTTGAGATCAGATAGGTTAAGATAGAATTTATGACATACAGAAACTATGTTTGAGGGAATAAAGTAATCAAAGTTGAGGGGATTCTGTTTTTCGGTGCTTTCAACAAATATAATTCAGTGGGCATTAAAATTTGGTGATCAAAAATTGCATGTTTTATTATTGAAATTATTGCATTTTATTACTAGACTTTGTATTTTTACTAGACTTAGTGTTGATTGTATTGTAAAATGAAAACAAAAAATGTCGGAAATGCAATACAAAATTTCGGAAATGACATGCAGCGAGCTTGGAAGAAACAACCCGGCTTTATTATCCACCATAGGAAATTCTCAGTACGCTTCAGTACAGAATTTTCTCCTTTTCCACCTTCTTACTAGGGAAAATCTTATCCACCCATACTATTTACAGAGGAGTTTTACAGAGCAACTTGACGTGTATTTCCCCCTAATATAAAAAGGAAAGTGTCTGTTGAGATCGTGACTGATATAAAAATTCATAAAACACCACCAAGTCGTGTTCTTTTGTTAATATTTTTTATATTTATTTTGATTTTGGTTTAAATTAGATTTTCTTCGACTTTTAGCGGCTATTTCTTTTTTATTTATGTGTGTGGGATGGGGGGGTGGGGGTGGGGGGTTATAGTTCTCTTGTTGCACGTCATCAACATTACTAATTAAATAATAATATATATCTGTGGTCCCTTCAGATAAATGTTTATGGTTGCACATAGATATACAATACAGTAGACACATCTCCTGCAAATGTACATAGAGTGGATAATTAATTGACATGAAAGTTTTGTCTTTTTGTCAGCATAAATGAAAAAAAGTACAGTACTACATGTAGTATATATGCATTTCTTATGCACAATTAGGCCATTCCAAGAGTTTTCTAAGTTAATTTAGCGTCCATCCTAAAATTAAAAACCTAATTATCTTTTTACCCTGGAAAAACACACGAACCAACAAAGAAAAAAAACAATAGGAACTTACAGCATTTCCATAATTTTTGCTTTGTAAATGAGATACATGTATCTGGGGAAAAAGAAAAACAGAGGGCGGACCTTTTATTATACTGCGTTTTAAGGTCCGCCCTGCCATTTTAACGAGTGTTTTTTAAGCTACGAAAACTTTTAATAAACTCTTTTCAAAATATTCGCCTTGTAATAGTAAGATATCTGAAATATAGGGATCGGACCTTTTATTATATTGCGTTTTAAGGTCCGCCCTGCCTCTTTCTCTAATTTTTATGCTACGAAAATAAACCCTGTTCAAAATTTCCGCCTTGTAATAGTAAAATATCTGAAATATAGAGGGCGGACCTTTATTCTACTGCAGTTATAAGGTCCGTCCTACCATTTTGACAAGTTTTTATGTTACGGAAATAAACCTTGTCCAAAATGTTTGCTTTCTAATGGTAAAATATCTGAAAAACAGAGGACGGACCTCATATTATACTGCATTTTAAGGTCCGCCCTGCCTCTTTCTCTAGTTTTTACGCTACGAAAATAAACCCTGTCCAAAATTTTCGCATTGTAATAGTAAAATATCTGAAAAACAGAGGGCGGACCTTTTATTATACTGCGTTTTAAGGTCCGCCCTGCCATTTTGACTAGTTTTTATGCTACGAAA